CAAGAATTTTTCACTCATATGGAGACGCCGCCACTTGCCGGTGGGGAGCTGCAAATTTTGTCCTATACTCGGCACTTACGGCCATTGAGCAGTGAGGGATCTTTTTCGTGCTAGCACCTACTGTGACACGGGACCTCGGTCTATACAGTCTTATCCGAAGGACCGGTCTCCACGTCCCACAGTGGGATTCAAACCCACAACGTAAGGATCAACTCCTTACTTCGCGACTCTAGAGCAGACGCTTTAACCACTGCATCACGCAGTGTCTCCATATGAGTGAAAAATTTTCAAGAGGAACGTTAACAACATACAAAAAAACAAACACATGCATCAAAATTTAATTCGAATTAGATTAGCTTGAAGCGTTCACGCAGAGCTAATGCGAAGTAATTTAATGTGCAGTAAATTAACTTACGTTTAATTTGAATTAAACTCTCCATGTGAACAGTGCATATAATGATGCCCTGTTCACAAGGAGAGTTTAATTTGAATTAAACACGTCAAGTTACTGCGAACTAAATTTGAAGTGCATTCACATGGAGAATTTAGTGTGAATTAGTTTAATTCGAATTAATTTACTGCACATTAAATTACATTGCATTAGCTCCATGTGAACGCTAAGCGAAGCTAACTCGAATTAAATTTTGATGCATGCGTAGGCCAGAATTAAGGCACAGGCCACATGTCAGTGGTTAGATTTATGTATCTGTGATATTTTTGGTTGAAAAAAAGGAAAGTAATGTAAATCACTAAAATGTATACAGTCACTATGATTATATATATTATGTCAAATGATCTGCTCTGCATACATGACATGATTTACAAATGATGTCATAATAGCCTTACTGAAAAGCTATCGTAGCCTAGAAACAAAATTTTAATTCGCATCAGCTTACTTCGCTTTTGCTGTTGTCCGAATGCATTCTTATTCGCATTATTTTAATTCACATTATTTCACTTCGCATTAATTTACTGCGAATTAAACTCTCTGTGTGAACAGGGCATTAGACATATAGCAAAAGGGATTTACTTAATAATGACCTACCTCAATGTTACTCAAAATGCACTTATTATCTAGTGTTAAAGAGCAAAATAATTGAATATTAAGTTATTGTTTTCATCATTGTTTATATACATTGTATATAAAAGAAACTCAGGGTGAAGCATCCATTGATTAAAAAAGCTACCACATTACTGATATGACAGTTCAATTCATTAAGTGACAATCATGTTTTCCACATTTTTTCTTAATTATTATCATTTTACAGCATTCCTTAAAAAATGACATTGCATGGTCTCTCTAAGGTTATGTGTTAGGAATAAAAAATTTCATTCAAAAAGATAATATGGATGAAAACATCTTGTACAAAATTTATTAATGATAAAGTAAACATTTATCACATTTTCACTGTCAAACCAGCCTTATTTGTCATTTTTTTCCAAATTGTGAGCCTTTATATATCTCTACTGACATCCAGTACAAAAAGATGAAAAATGAAATTCCCAAGAATAAATATATATTTATCCCAATTTTTATGTGAACACATTAATTTCAGTCTTAAAAAATCTTATGAAAAAAAAACAAAACAAAACAGAATATAAATATAAATACCAATTTAAATTGTTATGAAGGACATATCAAATCAGGTCATTATACCCCAAATCAGGACATTATACATGTACTCCTGTCATTTTTATTATGTCCAATAAAAATTTTATATATTTTATTTTGCATTTCGCCATGATTCTTATAGAGAATAATAATTTTATTATTATTTCCAATAAAAATGATATTGTTTGTGCACCTAAAAACTATTCAGTACAATCAGTCAGGACATTGTACTATAAGGGCATTATACACATCCGATGTAAACAGCTTACTCAGGTAAGGCATAATTTTGGGCAAGAAAAAATCGCATCCTTGTTTGATTCCTTGAAATGAATGTGTAATTATGTTCTGCAGACTTGAAGTCTTTCTAAAGACACACTACATCTGCGCAATTTCTTGTCGAATGTTTTATATCTGTTATTACGACAGATAAGACTTTCCGAATTGCCTAGGTTTCTTATTTCAGCTGTTTAGCATGTTTGGTGTGTTTGTTTATATACGAACAATTTTTAAATTCAGTTCTGCAAAGTTCATTATAATTGCATATCATATGATATGATTCTTTTTAAAGCAGGCCGGGTGTAATGTATTTAATTTTTGTATCCTAATCTTTTCAATCAGACATTTGACATGTATTGTGGCAGATGTAGTTTATTTACGTTTTCTTAAATCATTTCATTTCGATCCCGATGTAAATTATTTATCTTATATGTGGAAACGCCCACTTTTGTCCAGTAAGTTCTTTGACAGTTCCTTTTGTTCTCATTTCCATATAAAGCTATGCAGCTAGCTATCAGATCATCGGGGAGGGAGACAGCTGACTTTGCTAGCTACACTCTTCATATACTGGAATCATTTTCTTTTTTGTCTGTTTATATTGCTTTTGTAGTGTAACATGACTGTCTAGGGGTCAGTCCCGTACATAATCCGAGTTCGGAAGGATGAAAGAAAACAAGAATTTCAGTGTTTAAAGACTGAAGAATTAGATTCTATATTCTGTTAAAATAACAATCATGTAAATCAAACGTAAAACATATTAAACAATATCACCTACGATCCAAGAGTGTGATAATTACCATTATTGTAGATAGAAATTTAGCCTCGATCCTCGAAATATGTCTAATCGATAATCAATAATAATATCGACTGCTGCTGATTATACACAAATGCATGTATAATATGACAACAATAAATCCCGGCCGGGTACTATAGACCTGGGCGTGCCTAATCCGGACGGGTTATAAACAAGGGGAATAACTCCATATAACAAGTTAAGACAAATAGGGGAAATATGAATGAAATATGTCACATACAGATAAATAAATATATACACACATAATAAGTACACTTCAAACCATCACAATAGATTAATATTTGGGTTAAGTTAGGCAATATTTTGGTTGGGGAAATTAGGTTTCCACATTGTACATTAATTATAACAGTTTTCTGTTTTCTGTAAGACTAGTAATAAATTTGTAAGGTCGGTATACCAATATCGAATATTGAACTAACAGAACAATACATAGAATCACGAGTACCTCGCAGTTATCTTACTTACTACTGCTCTTTTGTGGGGGAGTCAGGGAAGCTCTAAATCTCGCAAGATTTCTGGGGCATAACATTGTTTACAGCAGTGACAATCAAATGATTCGAACAATAAGCAGTGATGAGTATGCAGAAAGTACAATGTATTGCCAAAGATTGAACTCGAAATAGTAGCTATTTTGTCAAATAAGGAAAGTTTAAAGTATTTTATGAACTATAAAAAGTAACGATTTTCAATGAGAATTTCATGAGAAGAGTCCGCTTAGTGAAGAGTTTCGCTAAAAATGTAACATTTGAGGATTAGCTCCTCTCTCAGATTTATTAGGCTGGTTCAGCATATGTTTAGCAAGATATTTCACCAGGATTTCTTTCTTATAAATTCCACAATGATCGATCTTGCATTGTATTCAATAGCACATTTGCCCCAATCCAACAGGCGTTTCCCACCTTCACCGCAAAAGAGTTCTGCTAAGTTAAGTATAAGCAAAATCAAGTATTGACTTTTTCATCAAGTTGTGTGCAATAATCATTGAGGATTTGTCAAAGAAAATTTTTGTTTGTTCCCTATAAATCCTACAAACTGAGACCCTTTTCGATGTAAATTGTAAGTAAACAGTTATGATAACAATAATCATTGCGAGTACAGGGAGTGGCGCAAAGCCCCACTCATCACTGGGAGCTCTTAATACAATGCGTGGGTGAAGAGAAAATTTGGACATTGCACATTGATCCAAACAAATTTTTTTTCCACAGTAACTTCTGGACCCACAATGCATTGCTTGTTAAATTACCTTCTCACAAGAATAACAACAAAAGTTCAACAAATAATAAACTCGCCTTTATTTAATGGATATATTGCAGATAAATAGTCAATGAAACATTCTTCATTAAAATAAGCACTGTTCTTTCTTCAGTTTAATGGTAACGAAACTTACATACTACATCATGTGCCGTCAGAGTCTAGACGCACCAAATGTCACGTGCGGTTTATAGAGACAGGCCTAAATACAATGATAAACAGTACACTGAAAAGGTATCTGCGCTTGCCCTAACAGTCGCACGATTAACATTTTATGATTGAATAATTCTCAGGTTTTTGATTGTCTGATAGCCAACATTTTAGAAATCAAAAAATGTTATACTGTAGACGTATTACATTTGGATGTGTATTTTTTTAGTGCCTTTGGCTGAAAGAATCTTCTGTTAATTCAAGTACAATGCTAAATGTCTTGCAGCACATAATTATTCATGATTAAGAACATAAAGAAATGTGCTAAATCAAATCTATGCCAACTTGCTCAAAAGTTAATTTCCCTCAAATATCGTACATGTACACGCTATATAGAATACATTTACAATATTCACCTGCATGTTATCTTCCAGATGAATATTATTGAATTCATGTACAATTATTGACTTTCGATGAGGTCTACTCATTACTATACAGACCTGGTCAGGTATTAGTTGACTGAGACCGAAAGCTATATTCAAAAGTCAAGAGCCGTTTTATCAAAAGATCTGGAATTTACTACATTTTTGACACTTTAGTTCTTGTCTCCAACAAATATAAACACTCATGATATAATGCATAGTGTAACTTAACACATTATAATTGTAATTGATCAATAGCTTAACAAATGTTTAAAAGTGGAAAAAAAATATTAAACAACAGATACTCAACTATTTACTAAGAAATTAGCTTAGTGTCTCTGCATCTAGCATGTTAACATTTAAAACGACACATGTTTTAAAAACATGCACTTTGATTGGTCAAAAATGTTAGCAAATCTATGAATAAATAAATTCAGAATTAAATTTATGAAATTTTTTTTAGAATGTTTGAGGCAAACGGAAGATGCATGGAATCCCCCCTGAACATGGAGACAGTGCAGTTACATGCATTATCAAAGCTGGATTATTAGGTGCTACATTTAAACTCAACCATAAATATTTGCTTATTTTTAAGGTAATGAAATATTTCAAACCGAATTTGTTGTATCATTCAACATTTAATGTCCTGTATTGCTTTTTGTTAGTGTAGTATGTATGTATGTTGTTCACCATATACCGGTGAAGGGCTTCAAATTTTGACCTTTACTCGGCACTCGGGGCCATTGAACAGTGAGGGATCTTTATCGTGCCAACGCCTGCTGTGACACGGGGTCTCGGTTTTTAAGGTCTCATCCGAAGAACCCGCAACTTTCACTTCAAAGTGCCAAGCACATGGCGAAGAAACAGTTGCTACCCATTTTTTATCGACTTAGGTCAGTCGCGGCTGAGATTCGAACTCACAACCTCCTGATCACAGAGTGAGCGCTCTATCAACTGAGCTACCGTGAACGGTCTTTTGGTGTAGTAGTTATAAGCTTCTAAAGCATATTGTTTTCAAAGAAACGAAAAGAAATTAAAACATGAAATGTATTTTATGCTAATTTTAATAGCCTACACTTTAAAAAGATTTCTGTATTTCCCCCTCTGAACTGTAGAGATTAGACATGTCAATTGATATACTCTATGTTATACAATTCAGTGGTTAACGATGCAACATAAGAATTCAAGTGCATAGTGTTGCCAAAGTACCTGCAGAAGTTGTAGTAAAACCTTCAGGGGTAAAAATATCATTTTCATCCTCTTATTTTCATACTTGATTGCCAAAGCTTAATTATGACTTTTATGAAGTTTTTCTTTCCAATTTAGGTATACAGAGATCCCTTGAAGAAATAAAGAACAGCTTTTAATTAGAGAATTCTCTTTTAATACAGTTACAAAGCTGTCAAACCATGGTGAGTAAAAAAGATGCTAGGAAATTTGTTTACAGCCTTCCAGGTAATAATAAAATAATTCAATCTTCCAAAAGAGATTTTATCTCACTCAAGCAGAAGACTCAAGTGAGCTTTTCTGATCAAAAAGTGTCCGATGTCTGCCTATCTAGCTGTCCGTCAACCTTCTGTCCATCTCTCTGTCGTGTTGCTGCAGAACTGTAGCTCTCCGAAAAAAATATATTTATTCTGCCATCCTTGGTGGCAAGGTAATTCGGTCCAACGCGCTTCTTGCAGATGTCAACTACAAGAGTAGTTGATAGAGGTCTAAGGAAAATTTTGAAATCCAGGTTTTGTGCAGTTGAGGTAAAAATTTAGAGAAATTAATTCAGAACCGAGCGCAACTTTTTGTGTGCAATAAATATACACTTTTTTTCTATGGGTGGCACTGTAGCTCTCTGGTCGTCTATCCCAATTTTTTCAAACCAGCAAGTTACAGATCAGCAGCTTTCTGTCATGTTGTCTGTAAACTTAATTTTTACATTTTCAACTTCTTCTTCAGAACCACTGGGCCAATTTCAACCAAACTTACCTCAAAGCATTCTTGGGTGAAAGGAATTTAAGATTGTTTAGAGGAAGTGCCATGCCCCCTTTCAAGGGGAGATAACAAGGAACTCATGAAAATTTGAATTTTAAAAATTTTCTGCTCAATAACCACTTGACCAGAAACGATGAAATTTATGTGAAAGCTTCTATTAAAGTTTGTTCAAATCATGACTCCCAGGGGTAGGATGGGATCATAAGAAGGGATCAGAGAATTACATAGGAATATGTAGGAATTATCCTCAAAAATCTTCCTCCAAAGCCATTATTAGTCATTTTTTATACAGAGGCATCCTCAGGTAGTGAAGATTCAAATTTGTTTAAATCATAACCTCCGGGACTAGCATCGGGCCACAACAGGGGATCAGGGTAATGCATTGGAATATATAGAAAATATTTTTTAAAAATCTTCTTCTCAAGAACAACAAAGCCATAATTTCATATTTTTTAAAGAAACTTTAAAGGTATTGTAGACACAAATTTGCTAAAATCATGCCTGGGGAGAGGGGGGTGGTTAAGGTGGGACCACAATAGGCAGTAAAAGTTTTATAATGGAAAACATATGGAAAATGTCTTTAAAAATCTTCTTCTTAAGAAGAGGAAAATTTATATGAAGTCATATTTATATGGAAGCATTCTCAGGTAGAGTAGATTGAAGGTTACATGTATTCAAATCATGACCCCCTATGGTAGGGTGGGGCTATAATATGTGATCAGTTTTACACAAGAATAAATAGGAAAAGAAAGCATCTGCTGACGGAGAACAGAAGGGCCCTAGTTAATCAGGTGAGCATTATGGCCCATGGGCCTCTTGTTTGTTCAATATTTACATTAAGAATGGTTGTGTAGAAATCATCAAGATTCACTTATTATGTGTCATATTTTTTAAGTTAAAAGTTAACAGTAAATATTGTTTGTTTATCAACAGATTCAGCAAATAATGCTAGAGAATTAGTTAATGCAAGACCTAATGATGGAAATGTACCAGGTTCCATGGCTAGGAGAATGTCAGAAAGCCTCATCATTTGTGTGTTACATGTAAAAAATTTTTTAGGAATTTAAGAAATAAATAACAGCTAGTGTTAAAAATTCACTAGAAAATGAATTTGGTTGCTTCACGATCACATCTCTTGAGAAGCCTGAAAGTCTCATTATTGAAAGTGTTACCATGCTGGTTTCCCAGGTGCCTATAACACTGATGTCCTACATGTAGGTCCCAGTCAAGCATCTGCTCTGCTCAAGGTTCCAGGAGTGAAAAATGTTGGTTAGGAATAAAGTGGCATCAGGTATTGCTTCTGTCATAGAATCTTCTTTTTAAGAATTAATTAACCCCTTAGTCAGTATTGGGGTATATAATTTTTGCCCTGCTTATCGATCTTGTTTGTCTGCAAAAATTTAAGGACCCTCTCTACACTGCACCCTAATTTCAGGGTACTTTTGTGTAGTTAGACTGACCCGCCACTTGACATAAAATAGAATAAGTTGTAATCTGCACTGTATGACATAATTTAAAATAAATTCAAGTGTTCTAAACATTATATTAGACCAAGATAGATTAGTTGACGACATTAGTTGCATGTATTTTCTCCATCTGAGTAAGGAAAAGCGATTTTTCTTAATCACTACTTCATTGTCTTTGAAGATTTTTCCCGGATAAAAAAGGCAGGCTCCCTATATTAAAAATGAATTAGTTAATTTCAAAATATCCTTCTTTACGTTATATAATTTTTTTAAAGTCCAAAAAACATTTTTCATCGGTGTATAGAGGGTCCTTAACCTTGCCCATAACTTTTTTAGTAGATGGAACTATGGCATTCATATTTCACAGGTCACTTGTGACAATACCTTTCTTTGGGTATCACTTAATTTGACCTCTTGACCTTGGAATTTGACCCACTTACACAAAAAATTACCAAATTTTAACCTTTGCAATAACATTTGAACAGTTGTGCTAGGGCTTTCATCCTTCACTTGTATATTCATTGTGGTAAGACCTTTTAATGGGCATAAATATTTTTGACCTTTTGACCTTGACCTTAGAGTTTGACCCACTTTTTGAAAACTTCAACCTCGGCTATAATTTTCAACAGTTAGCACAAGGGCTTTCATATTTCACAGGTGTATTCCTTGTGACAACACCTTCCTTTGGATACCAACAGTTTGACCTTTTCACCTTGACCTTAGAGTTTGACATGTATTTGAGAAACTTTAACTCTCGCCCTACAGGGGGCATCAGTGTTTCACAAACACATCTTGTTTCACATAAATTGTAGCTTTAACAAAGACAAACCCATATCAAAAAATAATACATAAAAGTATATTTTTAATATATTTTTAATACAATCATTTTTGTATTGTTTAAAATTAATACAGAAAAAATATATTATTTTTGTATCACCAACAAATAGGTAGATTATTTTTGTATTAAAATCTGACTTTGATTTTTTACAGGGTATTATTTTTGTATTTTTTGGGACTTAGATTATTTTCAGTACATCATTTTTGTATTTTTGTGGACTTAGTTTTTTTCAAGTGTATTTTTTCTGTATTAAAATTGAACTTAGTAATTTTACAGAAAATTACATACAGTTAATCTGTATTATTTTTGTATTAAAATTGAACTTAGTAATTTTACAGAAAATTACATACAGTTAGTTTGTATTATTTTTGTATTAAATTTGGACTTAATAATTTTTCAAAAAATACTATACAGTCAGTATGTATTTTTTTTATATTTATTTTGGACTTAGTGTTTTCTTTTACTGAAATTTGTATTTCTTTGAACTTAGGAAAATTTACAGAATGTCCTTGCAATAAGTCTGTTGGAATTAATATTTTTTCTCAGATTTTATTAATTAAGACCACTGCTATAAAGGTTGCTTTTATACTATTTACATTTAATTGCTATTTAGAACAGAAAACTTCAGTAGTTTAAATTTGTTAACTAAACAATTTCATTTTTAAAACATGTCTTTACTAGGTGTGAAATTGTCATTTGGAAAGAGATAGATACGTCTGAGGGGACACCTGTGCTGTACATGATACTTGTAAACACGCGGTAAATTTTGAAGTTTCAGAGCTTCAGACTTTCTTTTTGTGTTGAAAATTTTACAGCGTGTTTACAACCGAGTGTTTACAACTATCGCCAACAGCACAGGTGGCCACCTGCAGGCTAACAATAGACGAGTACATGTTATACTACTCAAAGAAATAACATGATTTACCCGTGAAAACACATCCCAACCAAAACAAAAACAAACAACATGGAGAGTTCCACTAATTACAGTACCTACGATGTTTTCTTGACTATACAACTCAATTTAGTATACATTATATTTAATTCATTACGTATTACAATTACATGGAATAGAACTATTTAATTATCCACTTTTAAAAAAAAAGAAGAAATTATTACGAAAGAATTTCATAAAATAATATAGAAAATGTTGTGAAATTGGTGTAAAGGATAGTTGTTAAACATTATTTCAATCTCTGGTACCGTATGTATGAGTTAAGTTGTCCGTCAAAAAGGCTATATATTATGTATCTCCCGCTCGTTTTGATCATTATATTTGAACTTTATGGTCTACTTCACAGGTCAACTTGAATATAAAAATGGCTGCTCTCAGCGGAAATGATGACCGGAAATAACGATGTTTCGTAATCGGTAAATTCCGTAAGGAATAAAAAAAATGATTCTGATGATTAAATTGAACATCGTTTTTTCTAACATAATTTTAGGTTTATTCAATTGATTCAAGATATTTAAAACCATGTAAATATGTTTTCTCTAACTGTTCCGATCTCAACATCGGTAATTTTCGTATATATGACACAATATGATTGGTCAGATTTTAAAACTCTTCCGTGCTGTTCTCTGATTGGTCAACAATATTTCACCCACGCCATTTTGAAAATTCTTCCCGGGACGTGTAGAGAAAGCTGGAGGTGATTTTGAATAAACTCTCATTTGCTCGCGAGTAAAATGGATCGAAAAACAGAAGTTCAGCATAATCATGGTACACAGGATCATATATATGAACCAAGAAGAGCAAATACATAAGGAGACTGACGTTTTTTAGGCATCATATCCGGACTTTTCTGGTGTAAACAACGACAGTTGCGGTAAGATTATATATATTTTAGCACATTAAAGTTTCAGTTTTTTAAATAATAACTTAGTACAAAGATAGAGGAACAAAGACTGCCTTTTTTACCCATTTTGTAGTATTGTAGAAAGATAAAATAGTACGGTTATTGGCCATGTGGGGAACAAGGGTTTTTGTGATAAATTCTGATTGGGGAGGGAGGGGTGGAAGATGGGGGTAATTTTCAAGCCTTTGGCTTCCTAGTTCTAATTCATTCCAATTTTTTCAAGTTTACCAGAGACGAATTATTTATTTTCCCTTCAAAAACAATTCTGTAATTTGTATAAACTCAAATTTTTTCGGGGGGGGGGGGGTAGGTTGGGTTCGGGAGGGGGGCAGTTTATTTAAATAACATTGGGGCACACATTTTGTTTACTCTTTCAACATTTTCAAGGACAGATTGTTTATTACAAATATTTTTTTAAAAATATTTTATAAATCAGCCCCCCCTTTTCTTCTCCAGATTGTCAAATCAAATGGTTGTCCCCTAAGAAACCCCAGATTAAAGAAAAGTAATTTCAATGGTACAATTGTATGGAATTTGGTGAACTCCGCTGGATCTTTTGGAATTTCAATTTATAATTATTGTTAATTTCAGTCAGCCGAACATTGAAGAAAAGCTGACAAGTCATGGAGGAAGAAAATCCCTCTCAAGAAAGTATTGCAGGTGTGTGAGCTAAACAAAATCTATATAGAATTATTTTGAATGTTAAAATGTGTGTTTTGTTGAGATAATGGTTCATTAAATTTTATTATTATATCATTCTGTTCTATATTTCACAGTGATGAAGTCAGATGAGATGACAGGTTGTGTGATTTGAAGATGGACTTCTGCAACAAAGTAAACACTCCTCTACCTTTTCCATACAAAAGAAACAGCAAAGCAGAGAGATTGAAACATTTGGTAAAAGTACAAAGAAAACAGGATTAGTTAAATTTGTGAAAAATATCAAGACTATTGAAGAGCAGATTACATGTAAAAAGAAAGATCAAGACTACAGTTGGTAGCTGAATCAGTAGCCTAGCCACATTAATTACTTTTTAATTAGCTATTTGTACATTTAAGGTAATCTGAGTTACTAAAATTGTTATTTAACAAATATTTCAAATAAATAAAAGATTTTTGAATAACAATCAATAGATGCTACATGTATTAAGAACCTTAATCTCCAACCCCTTTTCTTCAAATAACAATTTTTGCCCATGATCATTTTAGTAGTTTTTAAAACTCTGTTTTGTATTATTTTAAGCATTTAAATGTATTTTTTGTCTATCATTCTTGTACTTTTTTGATATTTTTGAAATACAATCCTTCATGCTGATAAAAATACAAAAACAATACATATTAATACAAAATTAATACATTCGATATTTTTTTCATACTTTTACGTGTACTGTATTATTTTCATATTTTATATCTTTTTTGTATTTTTAATTGTTCCAGATGAAAAAATACAAAAATAATATATGTGATACAAAATTAATATATTCTATATTTTTTTTGTATTTTAATTCTAAAAGGTGAAAAAATACAAAAATAATATATGCTAATACAAAATTAATACATTCTGTATTTTTTCTATACTTTTCTATGGACTGTATTATTTTTATACTTTGGAGAGGAAAATAGAGAAATAATACAAAAGTACAAAAACAATACATTTTTACAGGTCATGTGTATCATTTCTGTATTATTTCGAAAAAATAAAGTATATTAAAAATATATTTTTCTGTGATTGGCTTTTAAAAAGTCTGTTATTTTTGACCTAAATTGGAACCAAGATTTAGAGGGTTCCAAATTTGGTCATTAAAAATATACTTTTTTTGTATTATTTTAGTATTTTTTTTCTTGTATTATTTTTGTAT